GGCCCATTGGGAGCAGAAGGGCCAAGCCGGGGGGGGGTTGGGGGCGCCCCTGTCCCCGGGGTGCCCCCCTGCGTGCCCCGAGGTATCGGTGGCACCAGGGCTGGTTTCCCAGCTCCGGGGTGGCACCGTCCCCCTGTCTGGGTGCCACCGCTGCCTGGCAGCTGGAGCCAGGCTGAGCTGCCCGTGGGCTGAGCCACTGCTGCAGAGGGATCAGAGCCCATCAGTCCCACACAGGCGCAGGCTCAGCGGTGTCTTTCGCTGCTGGGTGCTGCTGCCAGAGCCTCCAGTTGTGCTGAGCCACCCCAGGGGTTCACCGAGCTCTCCCATGAGTGGTAACTGCCTCAGCTCTACTTTGGGAACCTCACTTCTCCGCCAGGGCTTTGGGCGAGCGGACCACTCTGTGACTACAGAGAAGCTGAAGGCCGAGTATCCGGACTACGAGATCACCTGGGCGGATGAAGGCTACTGACTCCGGCTGGGTAGCAGCGCCGGCCTGGAGCTGGTGTGGCCAGATCTGGCACCAGGGTGGTGGCTGCAGGCTCCCCATCCCCGTGCTCAGAAACACTCCGGGCTCTCCTGGTTTTCCTTTGTGTTGAACTCGCCAGTTCTCCACCGTCACTGGACTTCCCACACACCGTGGGTGCTCCCCACCTCCCCGGCACAGCATGGCAAAGCCTCGGTGAAGCCGGTGGGCGCTCTGCCCCAGCCTCCCCGGTTGCGAGGGGGTTTGTTCCACGTGTGTATGTGAGAATTAAACACGTTGGAGAGTGCAGCTGCTTGCGTGGTCATGTGTTCATGGCTCCCCTGGGTCATACCCCCTTACAGTGGGAACGAGCCCTCATGGATGGCCTGACCCCAGAGCTGGTGGGGGCAGCAGAAGGTATGTCAGAATTTGCCTTGGGAAGGCCTGAGGCAGTTGAGGAGGAAGCGATGGGTCCCCATGCCTGGCAGAAGGGCAGGGTGGTCTCGCGGGAAGGACCATTCACATCTCCTGCTGGGGGAAGCTGAGCTGCCCGGGAGCATGGTTTGGAAGAAGATGCCAGTTCCCACCCCAGCAGGTGGTCATGCCTTGAGGTAGAGCATCCTCCTTGCAGTCAGCCCTCCAGACGGCCAGGACTGGCTCCTGCCCCTTCACTTGTGCCTCCAGTGAGGAGCAGGGTGGGCAGACTGGGAAAAGCTGCTGGTGGCAGCTCAAGGGAGACATGCGAGTTGGGTCTGCCAGGCGGATCGCTTGGTTGCTGTCCCGTACAAGGTTGAGGCTGGAGGAACCTCACCTCCCCTGGACCCAGCCCCGTTTCACTTGCCAGGCTACAATCCTGTGTGCTCCCAGCTCCTGCTGGCTGCTTGGCCTGCTGCTGCCTCCCTGCCTTCCCCTCTTGCCATCGGGGATGTGGGCTGCCTGGACGGGAGGCTGAGCCCCTGTACCCAGAGCAGGGTTAGCAGGGCCTGCTAAAGCTTGGCCCCTGTGCTTGCTGTCCTGCCCCGAACCCAAAAGGTAGATCACAATGGATGGGGATGAGCTCCACGGGCCAGGCTGGGGATGTGGGGCTGGAGCTGTCTCCTGTGGAGGATGGTGCCTAAAGCCACCTCCAGCCTCGCAAGCTGGTGGAGGGGGAAGAAAACTGGGGGCTAAGCCCAGGTGCCCTGAAGAGGTCGCACTGGGCCTCTAGAAAAACAGCTCTGCTGAGCCTCAACCTCGACTCCTGTGAGTTGTTGACCATCATTTTGTGATTCTATAGGAAGAAATTCTTTACAATGAGGGTGGTGAGGCACTGGCAGGGGTTGCCCAGAGAGGTGGTAGAGGCCCCATCCCTGGAAATATTCCAGGCCAGGTTGTTCGGGCCTATGAGCAACCTGATCTGGTTAAAGGTGTCCCTGCTCATGTGGGTGACCTCTAGGGGTCCCTTCCAACCCAAAGCATTCGATGATTCTATTCTGTGATTCATCTCCCCTGTGCCAGGGTGGATGTCCCCCAACAGTCACACGTGCACGGGGTCTAATTCCCTAACACCAGTGGCTGTTAAGTGTCAAACCCTGGGCGGGTGGGGGCTGGGTGCCTTGCGTGGGTTGTGCAGAGTAGCGCAGCTTCCCTCTGAGTCACCAAACGGCAGAGCTTGGCACCTTGGAGATGGCCTAGTCTGGCCCCTGCTCAGGGCTGTGGCTTAGGTGGGTTTGGGGCATCTCCTCAGATGGAGACTACACAGCAGCCTGGGCAGCCTGCTCTGGTTTTGATGACCCTCACAGGCTTTCCTTAGTCTCAAGTGGCATTTCATGTTCTTGCTTTGTTCTCCCTGTCTCGTTCCCTCATGGGGCACTGGTTGCTCAGCAGAGGCTGGCTCCTTCCCCCCATCCCTCCTGTCAGGTCTTCATACATGTGGGTGACATCCCACCATGCCTTCTCTGGGCTGAACAGCTCCAGCTCTCTCAGCCTCTTCTCATGGGAAGTCCAGCCCTTTCATCATCATCACGGCCCCTAGCTGGATCTGCTCCAGTACACCCACGTCTCTCTCGTACTGGGGGCCCAGCATCTCCCTGTGTCTCCCCAGTGCAGGGCAAGGGATCGTTCCCACTGGAGGTGCCCTGCCTATGGCACCCAGCAGGCCGGTGGCTGCTTGGCCGTGGTGCTGGCTCGGGGTCAGCTCGGCGCCTGCTGGTTTTCCAGGCAGCAGGGGAAGGGCAGGTCTCCTGCTGCAGGTGTTGCCGGCCTCAGGGCACCCAGGCTGGGGGGCACAGGGTTGGTGGCCTCTGCCTGTCCCCGCTCACGCCAAGGGAAGGAGCTGAACCCTGCGTTTTACTGCACCTGATGCAATTGTGCTGCAATCTGCTGTCCAAGGCCATCGGCTAGGAGGGGAGAAACCTCCGTGCTCGGCCTTCAGCCACAGGGGCCCCTCTCCAGGCACAGGGGCTGCTGGCAGCAGAGGCTGCAGAGCTCCCCTGGGGCAGTGCCAGCCCCCATGAGCCCTGGCAGCAGCTCCCTCTGCCCAGGTGGGGAAACTAAGGCAGGGGCACTGGTTGCTGTCACCAGGCAGCTCTGGTGGTGCCGAACGGGGGCTCCTGCTGCTGAGCCTTGGTCCTTCCAGGCTGAACAGCCCTTCTGGGGTCTCTGCCGGGGTTGTTCTCCCCCAGGAGTGACCTGGTTGTGGCCCTCGAGCCGTGCTGCTTCGCCCTGCAGCAGTCATGAGCTGGGTGCTGAGGTGCTCCCTCCAGGCAGAGTGGTCCAGGCAGAGCGGTGCAGGCAGGGGCGAGGGTGCCTGTGGGTCCCCAGGGCTGGGGGCTGCTGGCTGGGGCTGGGGAAGTGGGCACAGGCTGGGGAAAGGCAGCCGGGAGCCTGGGA